AGCTGGATTGGCGTTTGTGTGGCTGACCCTGGTCTGCGTGCAAAGGCAGGCTGCACTCCTGAGCCCTGGGGATTGGCTTTTTAAGTTTTTAAAATTTATGTATTATTTATTCATCCATTGTGATGTAAGGCAGTGTCGACAGAGGATGAATGGATGAGACCGAGAGAGAGAACCTTTCATGTGTTGCTTCACTCCCCAAATGGCCACAATGGCCAAGGTTAGGCCAGACTGAAGCCAGGAGTCAAGACCAGCAACCAGGAGTTTCCTCCAAGTCTCCCACATGGGTTCTTCCTCTGTCTCCCCAGGTACATTCACAGAGAGCTGGATGAGAACTGCATTAGCCAGGGATTGAACCGGATCCCACATGGAATACTGGCATGGAGCTATCCCATTTAGGATTTTCAAGTATCTCACCAGAACCGTCATCAGGATTCTAAGGGCATCCTTGCAGCCTTAGGCTCTTGGCAGCCTCAGGAGAGATTTGAGGAACTGTAGCTTATGTGGGATAACTTAAAAGGTGGACTAGTCTGCCCTCCACTGGCTTATAAACTCCACCATGATACCTGCTTAACTTCCTCCGGCAAACCATTTGGGAGACTTGGTGACTTCCTAGGCTGGCTGACATCTAGTGACTGAAGCCACTGGTTCTCTGTCCCCTCAGAGCCATAAAAAAGTTAGGTTGGCAGGCAGGCAGGGAGGCATGGGGTAGCCTGAGGGAATGGAAGCGGAGGGAGTCACACAAACACCAGCACAGCATCTTCCCCTTTGAGCCTTTCCTAGCAGGAGTGTTTCATACCTTTGATCGTCAAATTCATTTTGCAGGATGTTAAATGAATGTAATGTGTTAGCGCCAGCATTTGAAACAATGGAATGGAATGGGAATGGAATGGAACAAAATGGGGTTGAAAATGCTAGAGGGCATCCATTGTAGTAAGGGTAAATATTGTTGCATGTAATTTTTCTTTCAGTTATATGCAAGTTTATGCCACCCAATGCAAAATGTCTTATTTTGCCATTGACGTTAATAAAGAGTTGGAAAACAAAACAAACAAAAAGATTTATATATTTTTATTTGAGAGGAAGATATTACGGAAAGAATGAAAGATGTGCTAGGTTACTCCTCAAGTGGCTGCAGTGATCAGCTCTAAGCTGCTTGAAAGCCAGGAGGCAGGAGATTTATCCAGGTCTCCCACATGGGTGCATTGGCTGAAGGACCTGAGCCTCTGCTTTCTCATACACAGCAGCAAGGAGCTAGATAAGAAATGGAGCAGGCAGGACTCAAACTGGTGCCCCTTTGGAATTCCGGTGTCATGGAAGGTGGCCTAATCCATTACACCGCACACTGGGCTCTAATATTCATTAAACAAAGCCTTGTTCATATGGATCTCTCTCTCTCTTTTTTTTTTTTTTAATGTTTTCCCTGATATCTAATTTATTGTTACTCTTAGTCTGGTAGTTCAGAATGTTTATTTTTATTTTGATCTCTCTTTCTGACTTTATTTCCCCCTAATCTTCACAAGCATTCCTTTGAGCCTTAACAAAACCACTAGTAATGCCTGGTTCAGAACTAAAAGTCTGTAGAGTTCTACAGGCTTGGATTTAAATCCCTGTTTGGATTTAAATCCAAGTTTACTTACTTTGTGTCTGTGGGCAACCTTGGTTTCTTGTTATGAAATTATCCCTCTCGCTTCCTGTCCCACACAGAATAGAGTCCAGCTTGTTGGCCGGTTGGAGAGATGGAATTAGGTCTTCCATGTCAAGTGCTTGGCGCCTGGCCCACGAGCGCTCGGCCCTGAGCAGGGGTAGAGGTGGGCGGTGGTTGCTGGGCTGTTACTTGTTTCCTCTATTCCCATCTCCAGGCTCATGTGCTTTTCTCTGAATACAAAGTCCTTCTCCTGGATGCCAGACCACTTTACCCATCCTCAAACATCCTTGATTCCTTTCACCACCTTCCCGGTACCTGCATCTTCTGTTTCACATTCCCTCCTTTTTAGCTTAGAATGCTATTTATTGTCATATGCTTATTGAACTGTCTATCTCCTTTAAAAATGATCAAAAAATGCTTTGAGGGCACAGTTGTATTTTCTAAAATGTATAATTCCACACAGAATCATAACAAAAGGTATTTTTGTTGAATATATTTTTGTTTAGCCAGAACCATTGGGCTTCCAAAGGGTTCATTTTTACTTCTTTCAGATTTTCTTTTTTGCAGCCTCTATAAATCATTGATACATTGAGAAGACTTTTCTTATGAACACACCATTATTGAGTTCAGAAGGACTAATTAAAGAAAAGGCATTGTAGCAGAAGCTAATAATAGCAAAAACAGAACAAAACAAAAACTGCCCAGGGGGTAATGTGTTGGATTCAGCAAAATTATTTTTTCTCTATGCTGACTTTCATTTGATATTGTTCCAAAGGCCCTCTGCACCTTAAAGTGCCTAGCATAGTGCCAAACTGAAGTGTGCAGTAAGTATATAGAAAACAATATAAAAATCGAGAAAGTAGCTGGTTTAATTTGTTAGAATGGAGAATTACCCTTAAGGAGGGTCCCCTGTCTTAGGTAATAGCCATTCTGTAAGTGCAAGCCACAGGGAAGGGGGCGAGGTGGCAGTAAGGAAATCTCCAGGATAGAATGTCTTTCTTATGGTGGTGGGGCACAGTGCCAGCCATCCTTCAACACCATGTCCACCGTGTTCTTGTTGCTTCTATACCTTTAAAAATATCTGTGATCTGGGGCCCTGTGCGGTAGCTTAGTGCCTGCAGTCCTTGCCTTGCTTCTGCAAGGATCCCATGTGGGTGGCGGTTCGAATCCCTGCTGCTCCATTTCCCATCCAGCTCCCTGCTTATGACCTGGGAAAGCAGTCAAGGACTGTCCAAAGCCTAGGGACCCTGCAGCTATGTGGGAGACCCAGAAGAAGCTTCTGGCTTCTGACTTCGAAATTGGCTCAGCTCCAGCTGTTGTGGCCACTTGGGGAGTGAAACGGCAGGCGGAAGATTTTTTTTCTCTGTCACTCCTTCTCTCTGTAAATCTTTCCAATAAAAAGAGAAAATCTGTGCTCCCTTTGGAAAAAAATTATAAACCATGTACTATCATTATAAAGATGATATTCCAATGCTAAAAGGCTGATGTTAGAAACTTAATATTTAATTGACAGACTTTTTCATTTCTTAGCGTTTCATTAACACTATAGGGATATCTTTCATTTGAAGAATGGCCGTGTCTCTAAAAAGCTAAGGTGTTTTAGTTGTGGTGCAGAACATTATTTGCTTATTCTTAGTAGGGCAGACTTGTTTCATATACTTTAGAAATATGATATACGTATGTATTCAGTTGTCTGTTGGTTTTATTTTTGAGGCCTCTATTGCCTCCCTTTTCATTACAGGGCCTCTCACTGCTTTTACTCTTTACTGATAAGAGGTAGAGAGGGAGGCAGGGAAGGTGCAGAGCATGCCTGCTCGGCAAATCCATTGGATAGGTTTTTAAATTGTCAACTTTTTTTCTACTGATATAAGATTTGGTATCAGTACTTCATAAAAAAAAAAATCTAATTTTTCTTTTTTTATGTTACAGTCTGACAAAAGGTAATTGAGAGACCAGACACGCAGTCTGGCAAGGAAGGAAATTTAAGAATGTCATCTCCTATTAGCACTTTTTGGTGAATTTGAGGAATAAATACTGTTTTGTGATATGGGGTTTTGTGTTTTTATATATTGTTTAGGGAAGCTTTTCTGCTGTAATGGCTGAATATAATTTGCCAAGATTTAAGCCTTTCTTATATTAATATTCCACCTCATTAACTCCATTGTGAGAGCTTTTTACACTTCAGTGACTTCAGTGAAATCATCAAAATGTGGTACTGTTGTCCTTTCTTTCCTTCTGTTTCCCTTTTGAGGTTTAGATAATTTCATTTTCTGTTTTGTAATTTTATTTGGATTCTATTGTTAATTCTATTAAGCCCACAATGATGATGAAAGAAGCTATTGTATAACTGAATGTCTGATGCTGCTAAAGCTTTGAAGATAAGGAAATGCACTGGCCAAAATAAAATGGTCACTTCTTCAGCTGACATTTTATCATTTCTATTGTCAAGCAGTATTCAGAATATGAGAAACTGGGTATCTGTGATGTTCCTTTCAGTTGTGCAGCTCAGTTCAGTGATTGTGAATTTTCACTTACAAGTATATCCTGTGGTATTTATAGCACTGGAACCCAGATAAGGGGAAGTGCTGCTTAAGGCAAGCTATGTTTGTCCTTAAAAATGTTTTCTAAGCATTTTCAGACAAAGTAGGAATTACACAATGGATTCAAGCGCTCACCTTTGCAGATATCTGCCTCTACTTGCAAAAACCAGACATATTTTAGCAACAGGATTTTTTTTCTGAACTTTTTAATTTATTTATTTGGAAGGCAATGTTACAGAGAGAGAAGGAGAGACAAAGAGAGAAAGAGTCAGTGATCATTTCCCACCCACTGGCTCACTTTACAAATCGCCACATTGGCCAGGACTGAGCATGTTCAAAGCCAGGAGCAAGAAGCCTGAAGCCCTACCCCATGGATGGCTGGGTCCCAAGCTTTTGGGCCATCTGCTGCTGCTTTCCCAGGTGCATTAGCAGGGAGCTGAATCAGAAGAGGAGAAGCCAGGACTCGTATGGGATGCTGGCATCACAGGTCACAGCCCATTCTTATATACTACCCCACCCCTGTTCTGAATGTTCTGTTGCTAGGTACAAGCACTTCTGGCTCTATATCCTAAGTGCAAGTTAGGTATCTTTGTAAAAAATACAGAGGAAAGAAAGTTAATTTAAATTCTGGGAAATGAAACCTTTATGTTTCAAACATTTTGCATTTTAAAAGAATATTTAATGTCTACTATATTAAGTAATTTTATGAAAAATAATCTGACCTATTTAAATTGCACATTGAATTTGTGTTTTGCATGAAGTTCAGCTACGTGAGATATTGGTATTCATTTCTACCCATTTCTTTTCTTTTCCAGCTCACCAGCGACTGGAACCAGCTACTCTGTCAGGGATTGTGGCATTCATCCTTAGTCTTTTATGTGGAGCTCTGAATTTAATTCGAGGCTTTCATGCCATAGAAAGTCTCCTACAGGTACTATGCTATTTTTGCCATTTCAAATGACTGTGCCTATTCATTCTGCTTGTTACATAATTGATTTGAAAGTGGATTAGGTGTTAGTACAACTTAGAATGCATATTCAAAGTCTGTTTCTTCCTAGCTACTCTAGTCTCTCCTCTGAAAACAGCTCTCTGGGTTGTTCCTCTGACTCCATCAGCACGCACTTGGAATCTCTTTGGGTGACGATGTTCATAAGCACTCTGCAGGCAGAAGGTGTGTGTGACACGAGCCCTGTGGTCTCACAGCATCCAGCTGAGTTGGGGAGGCAAAGAACACGATGAGTAGTTGCACCACGCACAGAGTTGGGAAGACGAAAGGTCCCTGTGGCCCAGGGTGGAAGAAGGGCTGACTTGGGACTGGAGGGATGCAAATAGACCACAGCGGAAGCATGAGAACGACATACATGTTTTCGTCTCATATCCGTGTAGTCCTACTTAGTTATCTGCTCTTTCACCATTTTTGATTTTTGACTGATCTTTTGACACCTGAGAGACCTAGGAAACAGTTTCTTCAGATTTTGCCCTTGATTTCACTCTCCAGTTTCTTCTGAGACTGTTGTTATCAGAATGTATAAACTTTTTGTGTTAGGCTTTTTGTAAACTTTCTGAAACTTCCTTCCTTGAATCTGGCTCATTTGAGATGTTGCAAGAATCCTTTCTCATTTCCATTACTTCTGTGGAGTTCTTGACACTTTCACATAGTGAACCCATTCTGTTTCTCTTACCTGCAGTAAGCTCCAAATACCTTTTGTAAAAACTCATTCAGTATGCTCTAGTCTGTGCTAAAAGTGCTGTTAGTTTGGGGAACACTCAGAGTGCTTTGCTGTATAGCCCCTGACTGGACTCAGCCCTCAAAGCCAGCAGAACTTATAATATCACCATTTCTGGCAGCAGAGCTATCCCAAGAGGGGTTGGGTAGTGCTTCCCGTGACTTCTCAATTCCTCTTGCAAACATCCCATGTCCACAACTAAAGGCTTTTTCTTCTTTCACACTCAGGACACAGTCTGTCCCTTTGCCTTCCTGTCCTCCTCCCCTACCCAGGCTGGATAGATTTCCAGTAAAGCGAGTGGAGTTTTGAACTAATTTGGACAAGCTGCCAACAAAAAGAATCAAAGACATTTGCAAATGTCTGACTGAAAAAGTGAATACATAAGCTACTCTTTGCCTGTTTTAAAAATTTTGACACTTGAAATTGTGGGAAGAGCAATAAAATAAGTGTGTGAAGAGTTGAGTTTTGTTAGGGTTGCAGCAGCTGGGCAGGCCTGGGTGCAGAAAACTCTCCACTGCAAAGAGTCTTTTCATCCTTGACTCTTTAAGACAGTGTGTAAGTCATGATCTGTGCTTAGACATTCATAGTAAATTAACACCCATGTAAGGCTCTTGCAGCTCACAAAGCCTGTTACAGGAAGCAGTAGTTTCTGACAGTCACATGTCCTCTCTGCCTTCTTGGGCTGATTCCTTCCTTCTCCCTTCTTGATTCATTCATTACTTAAAAACTAAAGAGGGTAGTGAACCATGGCTTTTCCTTCCTGTAATTAAAAACCTGAGGCAGGCTAACTTTATAAAGAAAGGAGAGGCTCTTTAGGCTCTTGGTTCTGAAGTATCACAGCTGAACACCAAACAGGTCCGATTGGTTCTGACATCTGGTGATGATGTTCTTGGCCAGTAGCTGCAGGTGGCAAAGGGCATCATACAGCCAAACATAAGAGATGCATGTGTCTGTTTTCCTCTGTCATTCTGTGGTCTCTGTGTGCTTATAAAGCTGTAGCAATTCAGACATGGGGGTTAACTGAAAGAGTTTGCAGTCTAAATTTCCATAGAAGTTTGGAAGCCAAGTTAGTATTCAAACCATAGCATGTTATAACTGACTTTTTTAGAAAAAGACTTAATATTTATTTGAGAGAGATGCAAATGAAGAGGGAGAAACAGACACACACATGTGCATGCAACACACACATACAAACACACCTTCCACCTGCTGGTTCAGTTCCCAAATGGCCACATGGCCACGCTGGTCAGGAGCTGGCACTTCATCTGCATCTCCCACATGGATTGTAGGAGCCTCGGCATTTGAGCCATCTTTCGCTGCTTTCCCAGGCTCATTAGGTGAATCAAAAGTGGGGCAGCTCGGACTTGAACAGGCCCTTGTCTGGGATGCCAGTGTTGCAGCCTGTACCAGCTTGCCAGCTCCTGCCTTGTTTCTCCATAATCCACTAATATCCCTCTAGTAATATCTTTGCTCATCACAATTGATAGCAAAGATTTCAAAAGAATAATAATGTATTTAAACTAATTACTGCTTATATAACTAACTAATGACTCTGAGATTTCTCAGCCTATTTGCATTAAAGCCATTTTTTTTTTTTTTAAATTTGAGAAGCAAAGAGACAAATGGAAAAAAGAGGAGGAGAGAGAAGGAAAGAGAGCTGGCTCCCTCTCTGGGATCCTGGGATGGCTGAAGCCTGTAGCTGAGAATCCAAAGCAGATCTCCCATGGGAGCGAAAAGACTGAATTTCTTGAGCCATCACCATTGCTACTGACGGTCTATCTGAACAGGCTGCTAGAGTCAGGAGCTCAACTGGGGGGTTGAAAACAGGTACTCAGATGTGTGTGTGTGTGTGTGTGTGTGTGTGTCCGTGTGTGTCCTAACTGGCATTTTAGCCACTATGCCAGATATCTGCCCCCAATTTACATTTTACCTAGGTACTTTGTACAGACCAGTATCATAGATGAAGAAATTCTCAGCAGTATGTTAGAAAATCAAATCTGACAATGTATAAGAAGAATTATATACCACAACTAAGTGAGATTTATCCCAGGTAACCAAGACTGGGTCAATATCTTAATTAATAGGATTTTTATATCACTATTATCTATACCAATAGATTAATATAATCTATTGTATCTACTATATCACGGGATTATTTGAGTAGCTGGGCGGAAAAAGCATTTGATAGAGTCCTAATTCCATTTATGATGAAAAATTCCAGCAAACTAGGAATAGAAGGCAACTTCCTCAACTTGGTGCAGAGTATCTACTGGGCCAAATGCAATGGCTCGATTGCTGAATCCAACCCCTTCAAGCACCAGGATCCCATGATTGCCGGTTTGTGTCCCGGCTGCTCCACTTCCCATCCAGCTCCTTATGGCCTGGGAAAGCAGCAGAGGACGACACAAACCCTGGGACCCTGCACCCATGTAGGATACACAGAAGAGGCTCCTAGTTCCTGGCTTCGGATTGGCTCAGCTGCAGCTGTTGTGGCCATCTGGGAACTGAACCAGTGGGTGGAAGATCTTTGTCTCTCCTTCTCTCTGTAAATCTAATCTGCCTTTCCAATAAAAATAAATAAACATTAAAAATAGAATATCTATCCACAACCTGTATATCTAATATTTTTCTTGATGATGGGAAATTATATGCTTTTCCCAGTAATACAGAAAGAAAGCAAGGATGTATGTTAACTGCCTCTATTCAACTGGAAGTCCTGGTTAATGCAATAAGAAAAGTATACAGATCAGGAGATAAAAGATAAAATGGATTTGATTACACATGACATTATTCTCTGCATAGAAAATCTCAAGAATGAAAATATAATAATAAGTTATGTGGAACTAATTAGGTCACAGGATACAAGGACAGTCCTTTCAGACCTTTGGTTGCTTTATATAGTTAAAAATAACTGTGGTGATAGGACATGAAAGAGGCATGAAGTAGATTATGACCAATAAAGAGGTCAGAATAGTCTTTCATTGTCAGGTAATTCATAATGTGTTGATTGACACAGAAATCTTTGTTTTTTCCCCGTTCTAAATTTATTCCAAGGTTTTTTTTTACCTGACTCAGGCAACTGTAAATTGGTTCATGAGGGAAAATGATCTATCTGGAAGCTAGAGGCATTTGCACCTGTCTGCGTGTTGCCTTAGCATTGTTTGGAAAAAAAACCTTTGTTCTTCCATAACCCATAGGACAGTGAGTGAGGAACGAGAGAACGACAAAGGATGACACTGAGGGAAATATATTCTCAAGTAGTTTGTCAGCCCATAGGTAGTTGTAAAAGATTCTCCAGCACATTCTTATCCTCTTACCTAAGGAAGAATTATTACAAGATTCCTGTTGTTCCAGTTCCTGGGGATTTTATATCTGCAGAGAGAAAAATGTCCTGCTAAGATTCAGTGCTTAGAAATATTTAGCCTTGTCTTGCTCTGAGGATTAATGAGGGAATGCTAGCTAGTCACAAATATCTGCCTTCTAAGGTTTGTGTGTCCTAAAGATGGAATGGATATTAGGCAAACAAAAGGAACAGAGATGGGAATACGCAAATGGGCACCATGATCAATGTAGAATTTTAAAGTAGGTTCACTGGTGCAAACAACACTGACAAGTATATCCCTAGTCCAATTTAACCTGGAAGAAAATATATACAGAAGTATTGGCCTGTGGTCTCTCACTGTTTATTATTATCCATGGCTTGTATATTGGAGGAAAAAAAAAGTCTGTTTTCACTAAAGCCTCTTGACCTAAGCCATACTCTTAGCCTTACCCCTGGTTTATTGTTATATTTTGTGTTCAGAATAATCTATAGAGTCCCTGTAGATAATTTTTGGCCAGTAAATGTAGCTCTCCTAAAGGTGGTTAGCTGTGTAGATGAGTGCAATTTCTGGACACAGGACTTGGACCTGTATCTGTATTGAGATTATCCGATGTGGAGTTTGTTCCAGTCATGGTCGTGAACTAGGGTGAAAAAAGGCAGGACCCAGATGAAGCAAATGAACAGACTAGGTAGATGATAATTTAAAGTTCACATCTTTAAAAGCCTAGAGTACTGAATATTCTTGCTGAATGCTAAAAATCATTGCTGTTTGTCTTTTGGTATATAACTTTGTGCCCCAGGCACATATGAATTTGAGTCAATGTTACTGCATGGTGTTGTTTTCATTTGAAGATTCAGCATAGATAAGTGCCTCTGAATTTG